AACAGACAAAAATGGGTTATTCCACTTAATATAAACTTTCATGAGGTCTCTGGATTCTTATCGAGAAACAAACGTTGACACGAGGATCAGCGTGATAGATGACATATGTTTCCATGCATTTTGGAGATTACCACATCTAAAGACGTGTCGATCCCAGGGTTCCTAGAAAGTCCGATGCCACGCCTAAACCACGCATAATTGAAAAGTCGCTTAGTCTATAATTTGAAGAGGACACTTTGAGCCATCTATTCATAAAAGGAAACTAATATATTACTATGTTAAATTTTCGAATTATGAAATGGTTTTCTAGAACGCTCTTAGAAAACATTTCAAAAACGCTTTGCTTATGAAAAGGAGATGTCAAGTCTCGGGAATTGAATGGTAATAATTGCAAGTCTCTAGCGTTTTTGCGTTTAAGAGTTATTCGGAAAACAGTCATCGACACTGCTTTTTGGCGATGATATTGACATTAAGCTAGGCATTTTTTTTAGGACATTTACGATAATGCTCATATCTCCGCAAAAGAATCACTGGAATATTTCAAAAATGACCTCACACATTGCTCTATCCGACTACTTATACGAAAGAACTTTGAAGACAATGGAAAGAGAAGAAAAATTATCAAAACGAAAAAGAAAAATTATCAAAACGAAAAAGAAATGATGTTTTCTAGCCTTTTGTGCAAAATTTTTATCACTTTGAAAAAAAATAGGCGTTGCATGTTTGGAATAGTCTTATACATTAAACTATGTTAAAGTTCAAATCGAAAACTTTATCAAAAAAAAGGAGTATCCTCACTCGGTCGCTATCAACACTTGCTTGGTATTGATTCTAATCTTATACAACTGACATTCTCTTCTAGGCTTTTATTCTGCTAAAACGAGAATGGAAAATATTTTAGTTAAATTTCCAGAATTATCAAATATTGAACCGCTTATAATATCCCAAGTATGTGAAGAAGCAAAAGTATATCAATCGAAAGCATTACATGTTCTATTAGATTTACAACAATCCTATCGACAATGTTGGATTTTACAAGTAACAAAACGTACCGCACAAATGTTACTAAAATTTGAATCAATTTCTATTATACAATTGTATGAAACAGGAATGTTAGAAGAAAATGAATATACACATATTTTAGAATTAATTCAAAAAAAGTTATTTGTATTAGAATATGAGACAATCAGAAGTCCAAAGAAAGAAGTAAGGAGGATAAAACGAAACTTCATCTTGTCACTTAAACTGATTATTTTGATTTAGTTTTTTCCACTCATTTCATTCAGTCAAAGTTCATATAAACTAGTATTTGATTTACTTCTATTTCAATCATTATCGGATAATGACAGACTAGAGCTACAGCGTTTATTGGAAAATAAACGAGAATGGTTTCAACCAAATCAAACGTTGTTGAGACGAAATCAATTTGTTATTAACGCGTATATTATTATACGTGGTATTGTTGAATCCAAACACAATCGACAAACAATTATTTACTATAAACTTGGTAATATCATTGGCATTGAATCATTGTATACAAAGCAACGTTTATGTTCGGATAGTTATCAAGCAAGTGCACTTGTAGAAGTTTATCAGCTAAATAATGATCTATTAACATTTTTATTAGACAAAAATGAGAGAATAAAACGTATTATATACGATGAAATTGCTTTACATATATTAATCAATAATTATGAACGATTTCAATTGACAATAAATTATTATCAATTGAAAACGCTGTTGGGAAGGGCTAATATGATTGTAAATAATGAAGAAGAGACTAAATCAATTAAACTAAAACAAAATCAACGATTATTTCTAGTAACAGGATTGTTAAATGTACAATACGATGATCCGAATACAATGGCTCGTCGCTCAGAGCCATTACCCAGACGCCAAAAAACACAACCACCTCACTTCTATCAACAACAAAGTAAGAGATTATTATTCTTTTTAATATTAATAGTATAAGATATGGTGTTTTAACAGGAAGTGTAACAGAATCAAGAAAAATCAAAGATCATATTATTGTACTTGAAGAAAGAAACTTGAATGCTCCACATTTAATTGAGCCAACATTATTAAATGTTATATATAAATTACAACCAACAAGTATCGCTTATATATGGTCACTGGATGATGAATTAACTGTTTCAACTATTCCACCATTTCAGCTTAATTTTCAGACCCAAAGTACTGAAGATGTCAATTTAGAAACATTAAAAAGTGCATATCCTCACTATTCCGGTGATACAGTCGAATTTACTGCAAAACGTGATTCAATTCATGTAACACGACCCATCATGCATTCAAATCATATTCAAATGATACCAGCTGAAATAGAAAATTCACTCTGATACACTTATGACTTCTTCGTGTACATACACTAAATAATTTCTTTTAATTTCTTTTCGATTTTCTTATTTTTGATAATTATTAAAATCAATGTTTTGATTGTCTACTGAGCCTTCTATGTTTAAATAAATGCTTTCCGGATCAAGTTTGGCACCACGGTAGACTTCCATTTTATATTGATTCTTGGCATTGTTGAATCAAATCGAAAGTAGCAGAATGGAGCGAGAGTGTCTACTTTGGTTGAATCATTTTCTCTCAACTTTTTATTAACTAATTTGTATAGAAAACATTCTTTGGATTAGACATTAAATGCAACAGTTATGGATTTCTTCTATGTCTTTAGTTTTCACAGCTCGCAATTGCTTGGCAATCCATTGGGATTCAAATTTACACTTTTCGCCTAGTCGATTTCCTTCGAAGGTGATTCCGTTTGCTGCTTGCTCTACTTTGTCACTATTAGCAACCATGTTATTTATTCTTTTCTCCAGAAGAATAAAAACGTTTTGTTTTACTCCTTTCACTCCTTAATAAGCCATGATAACCACCGTCTAAACGATCCTCATTGAACGGTTTCTTCAATGGTTCTGGAAAAAAGAATCTCTCTTCTCGTAAACATTGATTTTCATTCCTATTGATTAACATTCGTTTTATTTGTCGTCGTTTATTTTGGTCGTGTTCACTGATTTGAATCTGACCATTTAGGCACTTTTAGCCGTAAGTAAGGATCTAACGAATACCCTAAATAATAATCAACCACCATAAGCAAATGGCCCAGCAACTTGAAAGGCATCTCTGTACAACCTGTATAATTAAATGCCAAAAATAGTCCCTATGTCAAAAAGTCTTCTCTTTCTGCATCGTATGAAAAGAATATTTTAGATAAGTTTTATGTACACAGCTCCTAAAGGAAAAGTCACACAGAGCCCAGAGACGTCTCAAATGGAAGACAATTGTCAAAAAGAACAAAAATTATCTTCCATTTGAGACGTCTCTGGACCCTGTGTGACTTTTCCTTTAGAAACTGTGGTTGAAACAAAATGGTCGAAAAACGTTACGAAATTTCCTTCCGATAGCAGAGTCAGCTGGACAGGCCGTACATACTTTTCTTTCAAAATATTTTTCGCCTGAACATATAGATTTCATTTTCATCAAGTTTAGAAGCAAGTATACCAAGCAGAACATCTTAGAAGGAGTTTCTGAAGATCCTACGAGATCCTCAGTAGATGTGAAGGTCTGAGATTGAGAGCACAGTAGTCGGAGAATTTAAATGAATTTCCACGTTTCGTCTCATTGGAAACTTGGAAAAATACCTGAAAATCCTTTTCTGGTAAATTTTGTAAACGTCTTACTGTTTTGTTTTCTAGTTCAAGCCTTTGAAGGACTGTACGGTGTTCTGAGAAGGTGTGAGACGATAGCAAAGTCAGAACCAATCAGCTGATGTATTTATGCGCGAGAAATTGAGGTTATTACGAGTTTCTGATACTTTAAAAACCTGAACTATTTGAATAATTAAAAAGGTTTTTGCGGATTTTCAATGAGCGTACAGTATAGATCTCAAGTTGTGCAATCTATTGGGATCATTTAAACAATTCTCTGCGTTTCTATTAGGTGGCAGTAGCATAAATCCCTCAAACTTTTTCTACAGTTTTTTTCTGGAAAACTCTTTGGCCCCAGAAGTATGCACCATCAGTGAAGACAATTGCACAATACTCCGATGCGTTGGCATTATTTTTCGTAATCAGTCGCAATTTTATTTCACATGAAAAATAGACATGTATACCGCAAAACCTTTGTAAAATGGTTTCTGTGAATAGTTTTTAAAGGTTTAATCGAGTATACAGCATTGTTGTCGAGTCGCGATATCGACTTGTATCCCTTTCTACAAAAAACCTGCTGCTAAAACGTCAAAATCCGTCGCTATAGATTCGGCTTTTACATGCTTTCTAATCTTTTCCTATTGAAAGTCATATTTTGAAATAACTGAATTGCGCGTACAATGCGTAGAATTCGATGCTGAATATTGTACAATTGTGTTTTCATTGTACACATCTTCAAACAAATATTGGATTAAGTTTCTAGAACAGCTGCTGCAAATTCACGTACATGTCTCTGAAAGCAAAAGTGCCATCTTGTTAGTGCTTTTTTAAAACCGCTAGTATGGACTCCGAAAAACTTAACACCTGCTGGACCGTCTCCATCTTTTTTTTCTTCCAGGATTAGAAGAAGAATAATTGATATTCGCAGTAGATTGCTTATTGCGGTTTTAAACCGTTGGAAATGGCTAAAAAACTAAAAATACCATCACATTTAATGTGATCAACTGAATTTTATCCAAAAATTTCAAGCTAAAATAATTGACGTGTGCGAAGTAGTATATGAAGTGGAGAAGTTGACTCACTTCAGCAATCTGGCGGAAACTGAGCTTTTCAGTGTATTCAGATTGTTCAGTTCTAGAGTTTTTGTTGTGATTAATATCTCACTAACGCTCAACTAAAAATAAGATGATTTTCTCTTCAATAAAAAAGTTTGAGAAATATATTTTCAAGCAGAAATGAGTCCGATAATGTCACGATTAACCACTGAATTAGTCGTGACTTTAAGTCACGACTAATTTGAAGGCAATTCAAAAATTCAAAACTTGGAGGCAAATTATTATTCGAAAGTCCATTGCAAAGTATGCCTTTTCAAACGATAATCACTGATATTCACACGCATATATCTCAAAAACAAAAAGTGATCCTGTTCTAAGAAATAGATTCTAAGTATACAAAATTACAAAATATTATATACAGAATATGTACGCTAAGTGTAATTTGTTAATTTAGAAGAAAATGAGCTAGCTATAAGACAAGTATAACTAGATTATGTTATCATATAAAATTCAGACAATTTTTCTCAAATAGATCGGTCTTTTATAAGTGATCACTTTTACGTCCAGTCTGAATAAATGAAACTTTGAGACACTTATAATTTGGAACACTGATACATTTTTCAGAAAAAAATTTCTTCTACTTTTTAAGAAATAGAGCTGTCAATCAATATTAAAGATAAAAGTTAGTAAAATAGATCCGTTTTCATTTAATTTTAGTGATTTCACTGGGAAAAATAGATGTAGAACTTGAGCTTCTCTGACTATGATGTTCCGAATAGTGATGAAGAAAATTATGTTTGTCATTCTAAATTCGTGCAATGTCTAAAATTAAAGCGCAATCCATACATTTTACTAACTTTAGTCTGTGATATTAAGCTCTCTATATCTTAAAAACTCAAGGAGAGCTTTTTCCAGCACATAGCTTGGCATAGAGTACAACTTGTGTACTTCAAAATTGGCAGAAAAACTGGAGAAGGCTAACTTCAAATTTGTTAACTTTTTGCTCTGAGAAGTTGCCAGAATAAACACCGATTTCATGGTGAAGGGAATCGGTATTCCTTTAGCAGGCGTTCCACCGTGAATGTATGGTAACATTATAGCCGGTGTTCCCCATAAGAAAAAAGTGTTCCACCTCTTTTGTTAAAGACGACATAGTAACGTAATGAGACAAAAGGCAGATCAGATCCCTTAATTACTGGATCCGCTCCAGTAATAAAAAATGTGGTATGAACTATACTATAAAAAGAGTGTTATTTGCAACACATGTCACTCCACAACTTCATTCCACAACAATCCTGTAGGAATGGCTATTCCTACTGTCAACCGAGGATTTTACAAAATATTAAATGATGATGAGTTACTATCTCAATTCGTTCGCGACCAAAATTTGGCTCAAAAAAGTGATGAACACACATGTCACTGTGGCTCACCTATGGCCGATAGCACAAGGAAGAAGACACTCAAAGATGGTACGGTCAAGGTCTATCCGACAATGCGGTGTACCAATCGACAATGTCGAAATCAATTAAGTGTTCGTAAAAATACATTCTTCGCATTTACTGATGCATTGGGTCGACCAAATTCGAAACTTGATATACAGACAATCTTGGAATTGATATGGCTGTGGTATTTGGGCACGTCTTCGTCAACAATTGCCACATTGGTACATGTCACGGAAACGACTGTGGTCGATTGGACAAACTTTTTGCGAGAAGTAAGTTTTTTCTGAAATTTCTATAACTTGTTTCTACTATTAATCTTATGTAGGTGTGTCAAGAGAAGCTGAATGACGCTCCGCAAATGGGTGGCATTGGTGAAGTTGTGCAAATAGATGAATCGTTATTTCGTGGCAAGCGCAAGTATAATCGCGGCCGGCAGTTACTGGGCAATCGTAAAAACGCAACGACAGCCTCCAACAACAACAACGGCCTCGTACAATACCCAGGTTCGACGTCCAGTGATGATTCAGATTCCAGCACTGTTCAGACAAATAACAACCGTAATTATGCGGCAAGAGTTGATGGTAAGACATTTTTTTCGCTAAGAGAAACATTGAATAAAAACCCTCTTTTGTTCATTTAGGACCCTGGATATTCGGAATTGCGCAGCCAACGGCAGAGGGATACGAGGTCCGTTTTTTCCATGTACAACGACGTGATGCTACTACACTACTTCCAATTATCCGGAAAAATGTTTATCCTGTCACCACAATTTGGTCAGACGAATGGAAAGCTTATTGTCGTCTACAAGCAACATACGGGTATGACCATCAAACGGTGAACCACTCACAAAATTTTATCGATCCACATACCGGCTGCCACACGCAACTTATCGAATCGTTATTTGGCCACGCAAAAACAAAGATTCTTAGAACAATGCGCGGAACAACCTTATTGGACTCACACTGACCGAATTCTGGTATCGTTTTGTCCATAAGTCCATGTTTCCATCTATTTTGAATGATATTCGACATTATCGTACAAAATAATCATCAATGTTTTGATCGCGAACGAATTGAGATAGTTAATCATCATTTAAACGTAGCATTATTCATTTTTTCTTCTCCTTATCTGTCTTTTAACTTTTCTTAATCGATGTTCTTTGTTGCTTCTTTAATTAATTTAATTAATTTCTTTTTCGTTACGGGGAACATCAGCTATAATGTCATTATGTCGTCTTTAACAAAAGAGGTGGAACACTTTTTTCTTATGGGGAACACCAGCTATATGGTACCATACATTCACGGTGGAACACCTGCTAAAGGAATACCAGGGAATCTTTCTTTTGAATAAAAAGATAAAATTTGTTCTCTTCTTCATTTCTTGCTTTATATCTGTGTCTCTATAGTATGCATAGAAAGAAGAAAACATCAAAGTTTCATGTAGCTGAACTAGTGCGTGGATTATATAAAAGTGGAAATGGATCCCATCCTCTACAGTTAATTTAACTCTTATTCTGGAAGATATACTGTATGAATAGGCATTGACAGGTCCTGGTTGTCCCTATGAATAGGCCTTGAGAAGTTTTACCTACGTCCTATGGATAAATCTTGATATATTAGGCCAAATTACAGAATCTCCAAAGGCGACGTTCAGTTCTCTCAAAAGAACTGTTCGATCAGTTCAGCTTGTTCAAAACGAACTGTTCGAAAAGTTCAGTTCGCTCCAAAAGAACTTTTAAACAGTCCTTCCGCTCATTTGAACGGAGTTCGTGAACGTAAGCTGGTGAACCCCTACTGAAACATCAATTTCAACAATCTTATAACTTTAGCATCGAAGAATCAAGTACATAAAATGTATTATACTGTTACAGAACACACTGAAGACGATTCGAAGCTGTTAAAGCAACACAGGGAAAGTCGGATCTTGACCAATGTAATCACTTTACATTGTGCCAATAGCTGTCGTTCATTTTGAACGATGCTAATATTTTATCACGATTGAGGCAATAGAAAAAATAATCATTTATTTGTACGTTAAATGTTTCACCAGTAAACAATGGCTTTAGTCGTTGGCCATCTATAAAATCTTGATAAGCCTTGTCAACTCTATCAAAAATGTCACAAATAAACGAGAATATTTTCAAATTCGGCATATATAGCGAACGTAAAAGCTGAATTTAAGTTACCTTTTGCTGTTGAACATTTCATCGCCAAGAACACAAATAGTTAATTTTGAGAATTGTCTCAATTTTACGAGTGTTTCAACACTGCATCCGTAGTACAATTCTAATTTCATTAAATTTGGAAATTCTGTTGCTCCATTATCAAGATCAATATTATCACTATTGAATGATGGTATTGATAATGAGACAAGTTGACGAGAGATGAGAGGAAGTATCGATATGCAGTAGCAATCAAACAACAATTTTTCATCGGCATATACATTCGATATAGAACAAGCATCGGTATTAAAAAAGAGGTTGATAATAGGTTTTCTCCATAATAGTTTTTGACGAAGACGTTTGTTAAATAGTATTTGATTTAGTCAATAATTAATAGAATAAAACGCCTTGTATAATAAGAAACCATCTCCCACATACTCGAAAATATCTATGATCAATTCGTTACTTAAGTTTTCAAACACTGCTATCTAAAATATTTTAATAAGTTATTGCAGCATATAATTATATGTCGACATAAAATAAAAAGGTAAAGATGAAAAATCAAACGTCCCGTTGATAACGACGTTTGATTTTAAAATAAAAGTGTTCTATATAAAATAAGATGATGAAACAAACCTGACGAAAGTGTTTCATACGTTTCCTTATACTAATAAAAGTCAACGATTTTTCTAGCGTATTTTAAGAAAATTCCTTTACGCAACTCTTGGGACTGAGTAATGATAGGCTTGAATTTTCAACTTTTTGTTTCTTAACAACCCAAGAAAAAGTTTGATACATCCAAACCGTAAGAATTCCGTAGTGGAAAAATGTTATGGTACGAAATATGTGACTGAAACGATTTTTGATGAACTCTACTAATAGTTTTGTGCGAAACCATTTTGTATAGTAAATTACAAA